TGGTAGTGCTGAAACCTATTTCAGTTACATTAAAATGAATCAGCATTAATAATGTGTACTGCTTCAGATGTTCAGAGGTGCCTTTTTTTTTTTTCTATGAATAACATGTTCTAAAGATAAGAATTGAGAAAAGCTGAAAAAGTAGCTTACCTTTAAGGTTGTGAAAAGCCAGTTTTCGAAGCTTTTTTTGCTTTGCTCTCTGAGCTCTCCCATTTTGCATTATTTGACGATACTCACTCACACTTCCTCACTCTGCAATATACTGTATCTGACACAGGCCAACACAGGCCAAACTACTCTGGTCAGTTCTAAAGCTACTCTTCACTTTTAGTAGAACTATATGAGATGGAAAGAGTATTCCTAGGCAGGTTTATGTTGATTTGAATACTTCTGAAAGCAGGCTTCTCCTCAGCCATAATTAAATATGCCCCTTTGTTTGGTCCCCTGGGGCAACGCACCGTTCACTGTAGTAGTAAACTAAGTGAGAGAAGGGCTCCTGAAAAGACCCGTGGGGATGGAGAGCCTGTAGGGCCATTCTCAGTCAGGTCAATGTTAGGGAAGAACACATGGAAGTGAAGATCTGAAAACGGATCCCCTTCAGACTGCCATGCTCTGTCCCCTTGGAAAGTCCTTGTGTTCCCTAATTTAAAGACTCTTAATGTAAAGGAGCCGTAATCAATAATTGTACAGTGTGAGAAATGCTATTACAGAAGGATGAGCCAGATACTGTGCAGAAGGACAGGAATGGAGCGATCAATTCTTGAGTGAGGTGGAGATGGTGCAAAAGGGAAAGTTAGGGTAGATTCAGTGGGGAGATGAAGATATCTGAGGAGTACCTGTGTGAAGGAAAAGTGTGAGAGATGTGGAAGGGCTTCTAGGTCGGGGAATAAAGCATCAGTTCCTGAGATAAGAATACAAGAGGTAGAGCTGGTTGGACAACACACACAGGGAATATAGAGTTCCGTGTTTCTCATGTTAAATTTGAGGTGCCTCTGGAATACCAAAGTAAAGTGTCCAACAGGCTACTGAGAGGTATTGAACTCGGCAGAGAGATATGAGCCAAAGTAGACATAGAAGACTTTCATTGTACAGAGGTCAGATGTGGGCTATGGGTATGGATTAGATGACTAGTCAAGTGTAGCATGGTAACAGCAGATGGCCAAGAACATGAGCATTTGAGGCAGGGAGGGCAAATGTCTAACCCCTATGAATGTCTTTTTCCTCTTTGCCTACAAATGGCTAATTGATCACTGCCCTGTTTCTTAATGAGTCCAGTTTCCATTGTGATTTCTTCTTTGGGTTTTTTGGAAGCCTGTTTTTTGATTTCCAAATGTTTAGAGATTTGCCAGTTATCTATTTGGTGCTAAGTTCTAGTTGAATTCCATTTTGATCAGAAAGCATACTTTGTATGATTTTAGTCCTTTGAAATTTATTAAGACTTGCATTATGGTGCAGCCAAAGATCTAGTTTGATGAATATTTCACGTGCATTTAAAAAGAATATGCATTCTACCATTGTTGGGTGTAGTGTTCTATAAAGGTCATTTAGGTTAAGTGGTTAATAAGGTTTTCAGATCTTTACTTCTATACTTGGTCTTAGCCAAAAGGCCAAGAACTGATTGTTTTCACTTCTATATCCTTCTTTTTTTTCCTGCTCTTCCATCACTTACTGAGAGAGATATAGTAAAATATGCAGATATGATTTTGAATTTTTCTCTTCCTCCTTTCAGTTCTGTCAGTTTTTGCTTCATGTTTATTCCCCAGCTCCCTCTTTGCCAGTCACCACCTTAGGTTTGCTGTCTTCCCCCACAAAGGGTCACAGCTCCTTTCAGGAGTTATTCTAAATACACTCACTCTCTCTCCTTGCTCTCCCCTGGCCCCTTCAGGCTTGTGTCAGTGGTGGTAATGGCTTTCTGTTATTGCTAGTCCCAGGGTACTGCACCGTCCTTGCTGGTTTTCCCAAACTCTGCCCATACCTTCATAAATGGTTCCTTTATTATTCTCTCCTCAGTTTTCATTTTGAATGGACTACCAGTTTCTTGCTGGGCTCCTGATGGATAATGGATATATTTAGGAAAAGCATTTCAGTTAGTAGGAAAATCCAGTGCGAAAGCCTGAAATGAGTATATGTCTGACATGCTCAAGGAGTAGCGAAGAGACCCACGTGGCTGGAGTAGAATAAGTGAGGAGGACACTAGTAGGAGATGAGCTCAGAAGGGAAATGGGGTGCCAGATCAGACATAGCCTTTTAGGCCACTGCAAAGATGGGGGTTGAGCAGAGGACTGGCATTACTTGATTCCTATTTTCTTATGATCACTGTGGCTACTCTGTTGAGAATTAACTGTAGGGTGCCAGGGTTGAGACAGGAGATCTGTAAGGGAGTGAGAGGTAATGCTGTTTAAATGAGAAAATGAATTTAAGTAGTAAACCCCTACCTGGCTTGGGTCAGCATTGTGGTGGTAGAGGATGTAGAGAGAAGTGGGTAATACTACATATATATTAATGACAGAGTCGCTACAATTTTCTGATGGGGGGTGGGAGAGAAAAGTTAAGAATGGCTGCAAGATTTCTGGTTTGAGAAGCTGGAAGGATTAAGTTCCCATTAGTAGAATTGGGGAATACTGTGGGTGGAACACACACAGTTCAGAAGTTCAGTTTTTTTTTTTTTTTTTTTTGCTGTACGCGGGCCTCTCATTGTTGTGGCCTCTCCCATTGCGGAGCACAGGCTCCGGACGCGCAGGCTCAGCGGCCATGGCTCACGGGCCCAGCCGCTCCGCGGCATGTGGGATCTTCTCGGACCGGGGCATGAACCCGTGTCCCCTGCATCGGCAGGCGGACTCTCAACCACTGCGCCACCAGGGAAGCCCAGAAGTTCAGTTTTGAATATGTCAACTTGAAGCCGACTATTAGGCGCCTCAGAGTCTGTTGGAATCCATGCTTCGAGTTCTGTGGTCTGGATTAGAGATATAAATTTGGGAGCAAGCAACATATTAGTTGCACTTAAGGGCATAAGCCTAGATGAGCTTATCAAGGAGAGGTTATAGATAGAAAAGAAAAGAGGCTAGAACCGGGCCTCCGCACCCAGGGAACGGAAGTTGAGGAGGAGAGGAAGAAAAGGCGAAGAAGACTTGAGTCATAATGAGGTAGGAGGAAAAGAGACAAGGTGAGAGGGCAAGGAGAGGGAGAGAGAGAGAGGTGGAATCCCTGTGGATTGAGTCGTGATTGGACGCGGGGCTCTGACTCCACTCCAGATATCATGGTGGTTAACTCTTCCTGCTAACTGTACCGTGGCAGCCAAGCTGTGGCTAATGACGTAGGCTTGGCCAGTTCAATGTTCCTGCCCATGACTTCGAGTCATGAGGGAGTTGTGCAAAAGCTGCAGGAACAGTTTATTTATGGCAGTGCCCTTTTTATTAGAAGAGATATCTGAAGACTTTAAGGATGAAGAATCATGACGTTTGCATCTTAAGGTAGTGTTTTTCCAACTTCCCTACAGGTTTGAGAAATATCAAAATAAAATGGGGGAAAAAGTTGTCCTCTGACTGTGTTGTCCCACAGTATGGATCTAAGGGTGCCTGGGGTGGTATCTCAGTGAGTTTATCCTGGGGTGTGACTTTGACTGTGCTTCCTGTTGCCTTCCCTAACATATTGTGGACTAGTTTCTGAGCCTAGGTCTCTTCATGATGGGTTCATGCTTCCTGTGAGGTATTTCATAGAACCGCTGTAACAAAAACCCCAGTGTCCTCATACTAACCTAGTTTGAGATGGAGTTTCTGTTACAGTAGTTCTCTGAAATAGCTCACAGGAACCATGGGTTACTTAGAGTCAAGATTAAATGAAATAACATAAATAAATATGTCTATAATAGTATTTGCCAAATAGCTGGTACTCAGTAAGTATTAGCTGATGTCTAGACTAATTCAGAGGAAAATTCCTTTGATTCACACTCTAAATGTATGTGCATTGTGTATTAGAAATTATACCTGTGTTTTGTACAATGTTTCTACTTATCTCTTAATTTACCACATACCTGTAATATATTTCTTCATCTATAAAAACTTTTTTTTCCATAGATTTACAAATTTCCTCATTTATAAAGTCTCTGTCTCACATATTTGGGGAATGTGTAAAGGACTTAGAAGATAGTAATCATTCAACAAGTGTTGGCTGTTGTTAGTACCATGATTTAAGGCCTTGTTCTCCAGGATACCTCACTAGCTCAAAACTGGCAGTGTTGAAAGATGTGTTTTACACAGCTACTTTTTCTCAGTGTTTTTGAGCCCTTTGCAAGTGAAGTTCCAGTTGCAGATGGGATCAATATGTCTATTTTGCTGTTGGAGAGAGCAAAGCAGAGATTGTTTGGTTCACTCCTGCACTTTAGAAGATCAACCAGAAATTAATGTTACTTTAAAAACTTAGAACCATGTAGAAGTGACTGAGAGCTTTTGCTCTGTTTTGCTTGTTTCATGTAGGAATTCTTGGCATATATGCCACTGGGGCTTTGCTCTTTTCATGTACCTAGAAATGTTGAATTTGGGAGTTATGTTGCTAGAGAACTTGAATTTGTATGTAGTAAAAATAAGAACCTATAAAGATGTAAAAAGGTTGCCCATACATGTTAAAGGTACCACCTTATGGGTGCTTTGGACGATCTTAAACAAAAATGCATCCTTCTGTATTGTTGATTTTATCAGTATTGCTATTAATGAGAAAATAAAGCTGGTTAATATATTTTATAGTATTTCACCTGTTTTGCTAAAATAGCATTTAAAAAGTGAATTTCACCGACACTTCTTCTTTCTATATATAACTTATACTATGGATACTAGTTGTACAGCACAGTGCCTGACATAGACAGGTGTTTCTATGGATGCCCAACACAGACAGATCTGTGGTACACACATCCCTCTCTGTAGGTCAGGAGAATCACTGTTGCAAAAGCCATAGTGTGTTGTTTTCTTGTCTCTTTTAATGGTTGTGTTTCTGTATTCTCTTTTTAGGTGATACAGTTAATATTGGAGATGTATCTTACAAGTTGAAAACGCCTAAGAGCCCGGAACTTGTGCCACAGAACTACTGTAAGAACTAATCATTTATTTTATGAATTTATCACTTTGTTTCACTTCATCCATGAATATTTCAGTAAAATATTTATTTTTCCACATATTGCTGTTTCTGTTTCAACTGAAATAAACTTTATACTTAATAAAATGCACAGATCTTAAGTATTCCTTTTGATTAATTTTGACAATTTTATAAATGTGTATAACCACCAAGATTGCTTTCATCACGTCTGAATGTTCTCTTGTGCCCCTTCCCTGCTCTCCTGCTCTCCTGCTCTGGAAGCCACTGTTCTATTTTCTACGATGGTAGATTAGTTTTGCTGATCTAATTCGTTCTTCAGCTTTCTATAAATAGAATCATATAGTATAGTTTTTTTTGTGTGTGTGTATTTGGTTTCTTTCCACCGAGAATAATTTTGAGGTTCATCCACATTCCTGTACCAATCAGCTTGCTTTTAACTGCTGAGTAATATTCCATTGTATAAATATACCATAATTTATTTGTTCTTTTGTTGATGGACAGTTGGATGGTTTCCATTTTTGGACTTTTATGAAAAAGGTACTGTGAACATTCCTGTAGAGGTCTTGTAGTCATAAGTTTTCACTTATCTTAAATAAATAACTGGGAGTTGATGTGTCATAGGGTGGATGCCTGTTTAACCTTACTAAACACTGCCAAAAAGTTCTCCAAAGTAGTTGTACTATTTTACCCTTTGACCAACAGCAGTGTTCCACATCCTTGCCAACCTTGCCGTCCTTGGTATTTCTAGTCTTTTAGATTTTACTCATTCTACAAGGTGTGAAATGGTAACTCATCATGGTTTTTGTTTTATAACAGCTCTATTGAAATACAATTCATATACCATAAAATTCACCTTTTTAAAGTGTACAACTCAGTGGTTTTTAGCATATTCACAGAGTTGTGTAACCGTGCCACTATCTAACTTTAGACCATTTTTCATCAAGTCAAAAAGAAACCTCACACTCATTAACAGTCACTCCCGGTTTCCTCCTCCTCTTCCCCCTGCTGCCCCTCTAGCCTTTGACAATCATTAATATACTTTCTGTTTCTTTGGATTTGCCTATTCTTAACATTTCATATAAATGGGATCATATAATATGTGGCCTTTGTGTTTATTTCACTTATAATGTTTTCAAGGTTCATTCATGTTGTAGCGTGTATCAGTGCTTCATTCCTTTTTATGGCTAAGTAGTGTTCAGTTGTATGGATATACCACTTTTTGTTCATTCATTCATCAGTTTGGGGATATTATGAATACTATTGCTATAAATGTTCATATACAAGTTTTTATACAGACATATGTTTTCAGTTTTCTTGGATATGTGCCTAGGAGTAGAATTGCTAGGTTATATGGTAACTCTGTTTAACATTTCCAGGAATTATCAAACTGTTTTCCAAAGAGGCTGTACCATTTTACATTCCCACAAGCAATGTATGAGGGTTCCAGTTTCTCGATATCTTCAACACTTATTACTGTCTGTCCTTTTTATTGTAGCCATCTTCATGGGTATGAAGTGGTATCTCATTATTGTTTTGATTTGAATTTCTCTAATGACTCACAATCACTTCTTTGCTCAAAATCATGTCAATTCTTTTCTCAAAATTCCTTAAAGCACTCTAATACCTTAAGAACAAAGGTCAATCCTTACGTTTAATGATCTAGTCTCAGCCTCATCTCCTGTCACTGTACTTCCCCTGTTCTATGTTCCAGTCATTGGGCACAATATAAAATATTTTTTTGTTCACTCTTCAGATTCTTTCAGTAGACAATGCGCTCGTTGAGGGAGAATATCTCACTTTCATCCAATACAAATTTCCATTGACTCTACCTCCTAATAAAAAGTTTCTAATAAAAAGTCAGCTATAATTTTTGTTTTTGCCTGTTTGTAACTTGTCTGTTTTCTGTATCTGCATTTAAGATTCTTTTTTTATTTTTTATTCTTCACCAGAAGTTTGGCTTGATGTACCAAGGTACAGTTTACTTTGAATTTATCTTTGTTGTGTTTCTCTAAGCTTCTTGAATCTATGGGTTAATAACTGTCATCAGTTTTGTCATCAACTTCTTGTCCATAGCTAAGTTAATTGATTCTCTCTTCTGTTTCGTATGTTCAGTCTTAGTCCCATCTGATGATTCATTCATTTTGGTTAATATATTTCATTTCTACCATGTCCATTTGGTTTTCCTTTTTTTTTCTTATTTTTTGGCCACGCTGCCCCGCATGCAGAATCTTAGTTCCTCCACTGGGGGTGAAACCCATGCCCACTGCAGTGAAAGCATGGAGTCTTAACTACCGGACTGCCAGGGAAGTCCCTAGTTTTCCTTTTTATTTTTCATCTCTCATGCTTGAATACGTGAATGGGAAAGAGTTGGTGGTAGGTGCAGATTTTCTCTGTTGCTGGGACTTCTCATCATGCCAGCCCATGTATGGCCGTTATAGGTTTGTTAAAAGTTCAGCTTGTTTACCCTGACACATCTATGGCAGATTCTTCCTCCTCTTGCCATTCTACCAGGGATGAAAGTTAGCTGTGGGTCTCTTCTCTCCTTGAAAGGGCTCATTACTTTCTATAATCCAGTTCATTTAGATTTCTTTGTATCCTTAGCTGTATGATGGATTTTAAGAAACTGTGATTTTTGTAGATTAACTGGTTTGTCCTGGTTATGTTGGAAGTGAAATTCTCTTGCAATTCTTGCCATCCTAACTAGAAGTGGGAGTCAGGAATATTTATTTTTGATGTTCATTATTTAATGGTTATGCCTAATCATATTATTTTAATAGACAGGTTTTCTTTTCTAGGGGTGAGACTAATGGCTTAATTCTTTAACAAGTTGTTATACTTGTCTAGAGAAAAATTAACAAAATAGATCTATAACATCTTACGTGTCATAGGTACGTGATAATTGAAAAAAAAACCCACTCATTTTTCCTGATTTCTGGGTCTTTTCTCATTATGAATGTAGCTAATTTTTATAATAATCTTCAGATGTGAAGAATAATATCTGCTCTTGATAGACAATAAGAAAAGTGCTGTATAGTTTGAGTTCTGTAGGGAAACAACTACTTGGTGGGGGGAAATTATGTTTAAAATTTTGACTGTACTACTTTCTAGATGTATGAATTTCTTTCCTTCCTTCCTTCCTCCCTCCCTCCCTTTCTTTCTCCCTCTCTTCCTCCCTCCCTTCCTCCCTCCCTCCCTTCCTTCCTTCCTTCCTTCCTTCCTCCCTCTCTCTCTCTCTCTTCCTCCCTTCTTCCCTTCTCTCCTTCCCTCCTTCCTTCTTTCTTTTCAGATGTGTCAATTTCCGTAGTCATATAACTGTTCTGAGTCTCCTTGACTATATGGGGATGATCATTTTAACCTCACTGATACATTGTAAGGATTAAATCAAATAGCATATGTGAAATATATACGATAGTGCCTGGCACAAAGTGCTGAATACATATGAGTTCCAGATACAACCATTTCCCCAGTCTCCTGATTCTTGTTCCTTTTCATCTTCCATTATCGCATGCCTGTGACACTATTGAGTATGGGGATTACTAAAGGCTGCTGTGATTCTGCTTAAGAGATATGCTAAAAACAGTCATCTTCAGTCAGTCTTATCCCTAAAAAATGAATCTGGAATATATTTCAGCTAGATTTAATTTTGAATTTGCCCTCAGTTAGGTTGTTTGCAGATCACCAATGTTGGTAGGCTCTTCAAATACACTTCAGTTTAAAAAGATCAAACTTAACATATTTACAGTGTGGAAAGAATGTTGGCCTTTTCAGTCTCACCTAGACCTGAAGCATGGTCATTGCCTGATAGCTATCAACAAGGGATAGCGCTATCCATCCCTTCTTTTAACAACTAAGATGCCATAGTCTCTTGTCTGGGGTCTGCTGAAGTACGTTGTCATAATCACAGATACTTACTCATTTTGAGGATCTTCTTATTCAGTGAGAGAATTAACAGGACTGTCTGTACTAGCTTCAAGAATTCAAGGGATCCTAGCAATAATATCAATTTAAAAACTTACAAGCGTGTGCTTTGAATGAATGTATTCTCATACTTTGCAAATGACTGAGGGACAATACAGTGGCTGGCTCAGACCAAGTCCCAGAGTGTAAAAGGTATCTGTTCCTAAATATAGCAAAACTTCCATAAATTGTCACGAAAACCCCCCAGAGAAACAAAGAAAAGCCCTCAACATTTTCTGGTTTACATACTTTCACTTTTTATTATTGTTTGCATGCATCTCTTATGTAATCAAAAGTTTTCATTTCTTCTGTGTTTCGTTATTAGTAGCTTACCCTTTGAAATATATCAGAAGAGAGTTTATACTGAAATCAGTTGGATGGTTTGTGCCTGCTATCCATTCATCATTGTTCCTACCATATATCAAGAGGATGATAGCATATGTTTTACCCAACAGTAAATTGTTATATTGCCTCTGCTAGTCTTTCTTACGAGCAACTGTGCCATTTGTAAGAAAAAGACTGTTGGGCGTTTGTTAACTTGAAATAGGAAAAGTGGCCAAGCTAATTCAACCAAAATCTCACATAGTCACATAAGTTTTACGTGTTGGTTGCTACACATTGATTAGACAGATATATTGTATTGCATAATATAACATGTTTTTATGCATCTATTTACTGTATTATGTTCAAATACAGTTCTTTGAACGTTTTCTCCCTCTCTCAGGGACTGTTACCAGATTGGGAAAATTACAGTTCTTTGGCTTCATTCTTGCTATTACATGACTGATTAGAGATTATGGGTTTTGGCCATGAGAGAACTTTGGTGGATTTTTTCTCCCTAAGAGTTATTTTTTAAAATATGTTAAAATATTTTGGAAATGATGTTTTGTTGAAGTTTGATACCCTATTACTTTCCTTCCTGTATTTATGCTTCATTTTAGCTTTTTGCCTCTTGGATATTTAATATTTTGAAATGAAACGTAAAATGATAGACTTCTGTTAAGGAAAGGAACTTTAGCAATTATTATCCTCTCTG